TCCCTTGGCTCACATTTTTTCCATGCATCGTAAAACAACTTCCTAGTGAATGACTGCCACGTGACTGGGTATCAGGGCACAGTGTGTACTGTGGGTACTCTAGAAATAGCATCACCTTCTCAGGAGATACTTGTTCCATCTATGCACTGGCAGCTTAAGCTCTCACTTGTGAGGTTTAAGAGGGAGGGGAGACAAAGAGGGCAGTTGATTGTATGACATATTCTTTCACTGGGTTATCTTAATACAGTAAAATAAAACTGAAGACGTTTAAAAGTACATTTTCTAATTTTCAGTATGGGATGATGAGAAAATTCTGGAGATGGTTAGTGTGAATGAACAACGGGAATGTACTTAATGCCACTGAACCACACACTTAAAAATGGTTAAACTGGCAAATTTTGTTATGTATATTTTACAATAAAAAATTTTTAAAGGTGAATTTTCTATTATTAAACACTACTTGATATTACTCTGATATTACACGGTAATTAACTGCACTGACCAGCAGAAGCTGATGACCCTGTATTTGAGACCTGACCTCAACTGTTACACCTGTGGAACCTAGAACAAATCATTTAACTAAGCCTCAGTTTCCTTATCTGTAACACAGAAATAATAAAATACTTACCTACCCATTACGGGCTGCTGTGAACTAGAAATAATTTATGTAGGAACCTAACAGAGTTCATGGTTCATAGAGAGGGCTCAATATATGTTGGCTCTTCTTTTCTTTTTAGGTTTTTCTAGCAATACAATTCTTTTATATTTTGTACAATGAGGACTAAAATCAAGGCTCTAGCACAAAAGGGTTATTTATATCTCCCTAGTCCTTAATGTCATATAGAACTAACTTCCCATGAAATGTATTCCATGTTGTAGTGGTCAAGGGAATGTATGAGCCGAGTGTTAAGCCAATAGTTAATAAACCGTAATTTTCATACCCTAAGAGGCAACAATTTCAGAGAAGCCACAAGAACTGGAAATAATTTAACAGGTTAATATATATATAATTTTTATCAAGGATAACATGGTCATACAAAAACATTCACTACAAATAGAATTCACGCATATAAAAAGAGGCTATTTTATTTTTTGTCCCTTTTACATCCTATTTTAGGCAAAATGACAAAACCCAGAAACTAACAGAACTGCACTAGTTCTAAAAACTGGGAATTTTATAAATGAAATATGTCCAATCATCTACACCTCCTCTCAAATTCCAAACAATGAGGCTTATTGAACTATACTTTGAATCAATTTAAATAAATCTTTGTGCCATTCAGATGAAATATACATTGTCAATGGTTAAAAGTCCAGGTAGAAAAAGTATATAAAATTGCTCATAAGTAAAAACACCTCATATGAAAGAAATGTTTTTTGTTTTTTTTTTTTTTAAGAAAAACCCAGACAATATCAAGAGGAAATGCATTGAATTTTAAAACATTTTTTGGACCATTATATGAAATACCAAAAGTTTCAGAACTGTTGAACAAAAGTTTATGTAGAACAAAGCCAAGAGGTGAAAAACTATTAAATGTATTAAAACCATCAAAAGCCAAACAAGATAAAACTGAACTATATAATTTAGAAACAGGTTTAAGTGCATTTTTGGGGGGTATGATTTAACTGACTACCACATGTAAAATATGGCAATTAATTAATATGCAATTAACTACATATTTGCAAGCCTTCTGGCCATTATGTAAATATTAAAAAGTTAATTGCCAATTAAAAAATAAAAGGTTACATACATACCATAAAAGCACAATGGTCAAAGATGCACTATAAAATTGTGTGAAAAAAACACATACTAAACAAAGATCTTTCAGGCACTTGCATTCAGAAACATTCCTTTTATAAATAAGCATAGTTTCACGTCAAAAAAATAAAGCTGATTTTTCCCAATTGCACCTATTGAGAACTAAATCATATATTAGGGATGCATTTAAATGGACCATTTTATGGGGAAAATCAATGAACTTTTAAAAAATACGAGTCCACCTACTTATTCACAACTTCAGAAATAGATAATTCCAGTGAGGCACAGATGTGGCCCTATCAAAACATTCCACTACTCAATATAACCAGCACAATACAATGACAAAAAGCAAACTCCACAATCTGGCTTTCCTACACAAAAGGGGCCCTGTCAAAAATTCTTCCACAAAACAAACACAATACCACAAAACAAAATGACTAAAAAAGAAAAGCTGAATTTTGACAACCCTACACAAACTGTGGGACTTCATCTTCGAGGTCTTCAAATTGTTGCATTCGTTTAAGCCTCGGTCTCTGACATGTTGGATGCACAACAGGCAAGTCACGCTCCTCAGAGTTCTCTTTGGGCTTACTACTAATTGGCTGCATGAGACAAACTGGTGCATTTTCTGAGTCTGGAATTGATTTCAGCACATGCCCCTGAGGAGCATGATCTGTGCTAGGAGGCACTGCTGGGGAGGGTGCTGGTTTCTCTTCAACCCCTCTCATACTACCAGCGGGAACCCGTGGTTTATAAAACGTTGTCCAGTGCTGGGGCTGCAGTGTTCTGGGTGCTCTGACAGGAGCAGCAGGGCATGAGTCAGAGGACCGTCTCTCTGACACCTGTCTTGCTGGTTCTGTGTATGGCTTACTGGGCTGGGTGGCACTGAGTAGCTGGTCCCCACCAATCTTGATGGCCGTCATCACTCCTCCTTCTTGGAGTGCACTGGGCACAATCGTGGTCTTTGCAGTTAGGTCATTTTGTTCATACTGTTTTTCTGGAGTTTTTTGTAGAGTTTGCTGATCAAAGCCATCAAATTTGCAACAAACAGTAGGGGTGTCTTTTCTATTAACGCCTTCAAAGGTAGGACTCTTGAAAAACTTGTCTGAATTTACATTCCCCAAATTTCTGCCATTTCTCTCATGAGGAGGGCTTGCAAGAAGCAACAGTCTATCTACAGGCAAACTTGCAGGTCTAATCTTGGTCCTTGGGGTATATCGCTCAACAACACTGTTTGTCTCCCTTCCGGATTTCAGAGTAAGTGGCTTGGAGGATTTACAAACATCTTCTATCTTTTGTGATGTTGATTCAAGCTCTGGATCTACAGGCAAATGGACTCTGTTGTCTGTAAAAAGAGATTTATTTAAAAACCAAACTTCATGGCACATGGCTAACAGGAGTTTGAATGAACATGCTCTCAAAACAAGGGCCTTACATATTTTTTCCAAGTTATTCTCAGTTATCTATGCAGAGGGATTTAAAGGTGAATCCTGAATAAAAATGTTAGAATTCTATATTTATTTAAATCAATATAATAACTAGCAACAAAATTCACTGCAGTTTCAAAAAAACTAAAAAAGAAAACATATGCTGAAGTAACTTTTTATGTGTGATGCATGAACAAGTATTTGCTGGGTCAAAAGGTTATCATGATTTCAATAGGCAGACAATGGTAAATTAACCTCAGAAAAGTTACACCAATTTACCCATCAACAAAATGTAGCCATGCACTTGAATCCCAAGGCTTTTGCCAACTCACCTAATCTGCTTTTCAGTTACCTAACCCACAGTGAGAATGTATCATGTGAAATGTCTTAGATGCCCTTCACATATGGTCAATAAATAAATGGACTGTAACATTCATCCTGTCCAACTAGGGTTGAATACGTCTAAGAAAAAATGCCCATTCACCCCATTTACTATTTACACCCAGACTTACTTTCTTCTCTTTCCTATCAAGTCTGAACTCATGGCCCATATTTTCTCAATAGAACCTTGAACTCCTTTAAACCCTGTACCTTTTTGCTGCATCTCCCCTAAAAAATTCCTATTTCTGGAAAATTCCAGCCCTCTGCTCACACTCCTCTTTTGGCCAGCATTCTGCTGACAGGAGCCAGGTGCCCATCAGAATCACTGCCAGGGGTCATCTCATCTCACCTTCCTCCTTACCTTAGACTGCTGACCTCTCTTCTCTGGGCTTCCAAAGCAACACTCTCTTGTTTTATTTTCCCAGGTCCTTCCCCACATGTACAGACCACTCTAAGGCACCTGACTCGAAGTGGTAGGGCTGTATTCACCCACCAAAGTATATTCTTCAGTTCTGAGGGAAAAACTTATAGCCTAATGAATAGAGTGCAGACTCTGAAGCCCAGTTGCTCCGTTAAGCTCAGCTCTACCATTTCTGAACTGGGCAAGGCAATCTCGCTGTCCCTTGTGTCTTCATCTGTCAAAAGGGAATCATAATTGTATCTGTGTTGATGTATGGCCTAAATGACCTAATTATGAAAAGTGCTTAGAATTCTTTGGTATATAATAAGCACTCAAAAATAACATTTATTATTAAAACAATTCTAATTGGGAGCCCTAGATCATGGGGTAGTGAAAATAAGCAGAAATGTAGGTTCAAATACTGACTGAACAATTTATTAGGGGCATGACTTTTGGCATGATTTCACCCCTCTCAGACTATTAGGCAACAGATTGAACAGGGCTAATACTACCTACTTTATAGCACAGAACTGTTATGAAGATCAAATCTAATGAACAGAATCACACAATAAGCACAGTGCTTAGCACAGAGCAGGTGGATACTTACTTAATGAATGTTAGCTCCCTTACTTTTTTCTTTTTAGATTCAGTCAGGCTACTTAATTATGCATCAAATTTAAAAAAATTGGAATTTAGCTCTAGGAATGTATAAAATTATAGTAATAAATGGAAGCCTTTCCACCAGTTTGATAGCTACAAGTCACTGCAACTAAAATGATCATATAGTGAATAAAATGACTGCAGTCAAGGAAATAAAGACATACACATATGTGTGTTTAATGTGTAAAAGGCAGGTGTTAGGTAAAATAATTTGAAAAAAAATTTAAGAGTTTTAGGAGTCTAATTTTTTTAATTTTAGGAGTCTAGTTGACTCCTTATAAGCAGTTAGACCAATACAATGATCTACAGTAACAGAGATGCTAATGAACTATCATACTACTCAACACATTTCTGCCACAACTTTAATTTATGGCAAAAATGAAGACAAAAAATTTTTAGAAAGAGCACCAAAAAAAATCCATGAACTCCAAGATGTCTTTTTATAAGAAAGACTGTTACAGAGAATAACATTTAAATGCGAGGTACACTAAAAGGCAACTTTCTTAATGGCTAGTAAAGATCCATTTACTAAAGAAGCTTCTTTCTCTGACTTCTCTCAGCTGCACTCACCCCGGCTTTTAATCATGGTTTATTGACACAGTTTTAAGTCAGCAAACATGTATTTTACATGGCCACTCACCAATGAGACATGCATCACATTTTTCTAATGTATTCTGCTTTCGTTCTGATTCCTCAAATGGTGTAGCTGGTTCAAAAATTTTGCTTTCACTATCTGCTTTATGGATATCCTATTGATGGAAAAGAATTTTTAAACTTTAAGAAGCAACACATCTCAAAATAAAACAATTCAAAGATTTTTACCTTAACATAAACATTATAAAGTTCCAACACAATTCCATAAAGGTCAAAACTCACTTCCTTTGAAGAGAAAAACAGTGACTTCATGGAATGTTCTGGGTCTCTTCCTTCTGGTGATAACAGAGGCTTTGGAAGACGGCCTTGATCAGCCTGAGGTGCAACACCACCTGTACTACACACGACTGCATCTTGTGGCTGTAGAGACCCATCAAAGATCTTCTGGGAGTAAGTAATGAGGAACTCAACCAACCGCGCTTGATTGGAGTATTCCGCAAGAAAGGAGATGGTGATCGGAGCAGTTGTGGGCCTCGGCCTAATGAGGCTTGGTCCAAATATCACTCCCAAGTTTTTGGAGTTCATCTTGTTTTCTTCTGCATGATCTACGACCCTGCAGAGTAGAATACATACAGCTATATGGGATTTGCCTGTTAAGATTTTCCTAATGGTAGTTTACTACAGGTTGGGAAGGGTGAAAGAAAAATGGGCTGCAGAAGTCTAAGAAAAGGATATATTTATTTGATAAAATATTGACCACATACCAAGTTAGGTTTCACAGTATCAGGATGAAAAGTAAATGGAAGGAACTACCAGAGTTTTACCAGCAGAAATTAAAAATACCCCTAAAAGCTGCAGGTCCCTGTGCTGGAAACTTAAGCATCATTGTCAAATTCTGATGGCCCACGGCTAGTCTGCTGACCTAGTTGATTCTCCAGTCTAAAGATCTCTCTTTCGGTTCTATTGCCACTCCCTCTGCTCTGGCTTACTTCAAGCTCTCAACACATTTTAATTCTATGACTATTCATGGAGATCTAACATACAGTAAAGGCTTCTCCTTCAAACCATTCCATATACTGCTGCCAGAAAGATCTAACAGGCAAATCTGAGTATGTTAAATACCTGGCTCAAAATTCCTTAGTGGGTACAGAAGGAAGATAGTCAACTTATCTGCCAAGTATGTAAGACTTTATTTACCAGGCCACT